CTGAACCTTCCCCCCCTTGGGTCAGGTCCCGCATCGAGGGTCTGCTGGCGAGCGCCTATTCGACCATGCCGGCTCTTTCAGCTCAGTACGCGTGCATCTGGGAAGACACGGTAGCATTGTCCCACTGGGCAATTCTGTCATTGTTCGCCTGGGGAGGAGCCCCGGATTGCGTCCGCTCACGAGCACCATCTCTCCCCTCACCATGGACGTCCCCGAGGGGTGTGTGTGTGTGTGAGAGTGAGAGAGAGAGAGAGAGAGAGAGAGAGAGAGAGAGAGAGAGAGAGAAAGAGTCATACGTACCAAAACACTCTCACTCTCGGTCCCTTTGATACTCTCTTCAGCTCCCAAACTGGCCAGAGCCTTCTCCGACAAAGGCGTCGAGGCTCCCACACATCAACTCATCCATACCTTACTGCCACGTGCACCGCCCGCCCTCCAACTTCTCTTCCCCGAGTGACGCCAAAACCTAATAGGCAATGGGTTCATGATTCCGTGCAGTAACGCGTTCGACTAGAGCGGCAGGGCCCCTGGTGCGGCTCACCCAGGCGCTCTCCCCCCCATGCTCACGGCCATCTCGACATCGCCGACCTATCCGGGAATCTCTGGGCCTGCTCCATAGCCTGATAGTACCTAGCAGTCCCAGGCAAGGCCTCTCTATTCTTGGCCCTCTCTCTTCCAGGCGTCGTGATTGCCCGTCGGCGACTTCACTCTCCAAACAGCCCTGTCCAAAGTGAAGATCCAAGGCGCCAAGTCCATGCACGACACTCTTCTAGGAATGAAAGCCCCCATCCCCCCTGTGGGCGAGCACATTCGGAACACAAAGTTCCCAGCCCATATTCTACAGGTACCAAATGGGTAGTACGAGTACATCAAGGTTCTACGGAGTCATGCTGGCCCCTCTCAGAACAAGGGGACCTACTCAACCGGTTGTCGCGGCGGTAGCCGGGTGCTTGCCTTCCGGCCACGAGTCGCCTGTCGTGCCTCTTTTTAGATACGGTTCTGACAGCACTGACTCAACCGACTTGGTCCCGCAAGAGCAGGAAACCGGCATTCGACTCAACGCCGGGGAGGGGGGAGCCCAGCATGATTCATGGAGACGCTCCCTGGGGCCATCTGCTGTGTCAACGGCATGGACCACAGCTTCACTTACCGAGGAAAGAGGACCCTCGCAATCTGTTTTGTGAACAGATGATCTCCACCACTGCTTGATTAGTCTCTGGTCTTCTCTTCTCGTCGATACGCCCCATGTCTCTTTTGGCAGGTAGACGCCAATGTAGGGGAGAGGGAGAGGGAGATGGAGAGAGACAGAACCTGTATCAGCGACCGCCAGAGAACGTGAAGCACAATTACAGACCTCATATACCAAGGGGCACATGACATAACACGAGGGCTAACCAATCGCCGCGTGTGTGAACCGCATGAGTTTTGTGGAAAAGATTCAGCGGCATCCAAACGTCCTCAAGCAACCGGGATGCGTGGTTCCATGGGTTGCAGAGGCGCAAGATTCAGGGTGACGAGGTCAGGGGAAAGGAGAGAATCCCTCTAATACTTGGAAAGCGGCATGAAGTAAATGAGAACCAAAACACGGGATGCAGCACCTCCCACCTGTTATTACCTTGAATGAAACTAGCCATGACGGAGGAGGAGAAGTCAATTAGGCCGTTTGGTGAAGAAAATGTCTGCGTAGCCGGCAAATAACCTGGCTAGCGCTCGCTGGCATTATCGGAAATGGCCCGTCAGAGATGTGCATGTCCTTCGTATGATCCGGCGGCCGGGATAGGCGAGTTGTCGAGATGCCTTTTTCAGACAGTCATTTTACATGTACGATCGCCGTCGATCGTCAATCACACAAACAACCATCCGACTCCGACGCTTGCCGCCAGAAGGACCAATACGAAGTGCACAAGACATCCATCTAATCGAGAATTAGTTCAGCTTGTAAATTGACACAAGGGGGCAAGTTGGGGGGATTCTCATGCTGCTTGCCTCACCCCGTCGCTCATACAAACCCTGAGAGAAGTTCTATTAAGCTTGACACTTGTGCCTGATTATTCGAGATCCCCGTCTTCTGCGGTGGCAGGCGGCGGGCGGGACTACTTTTGCTACCGAAGCCTAACTTACTCTGTAGTCACAATACTCCTGAAAGTAGGTAGCCTGCTTCCGGGGTCAGTTTCGTCTGCCATTCGTGGCAAGGTCTTCCCCCCAAGCGTTTCTGCTTTGACTGGGGATAGGGCAGAGCTATGCTGCCGGCCACCGAATTTGACAGCAAGGGAGAAAGAAGGTCGGGTGGTTTGCCCGAAGAGAAACCATCCACTGAGCGCCACATCATGCGGTCTTTTGTTGATAAAGACAACATCCAGCCCAGGGGAAGAGTTGAGAAGGTTGCTGAGGGGGGAAAGAGGCGTTTGCTAGCCCATTACAGACAGCTTTGGCGTGTATGAAGTAGAGAGAGAGAGAGAGAGAGAGATCAAGAGGTGGAAAGATGATGGGTCGATGCAGAGTGCGAAGTAGAGTGAGGAGGCTCAGGTATCCAGGAGTAGAAGCTGTCGTTCAGGAGACGGTGTGAACTGCCTAAAGGTACAATCTTGATACATCTTCAGTGTTGCCCAGATGGGCCAAAATGTGACGCTCCATGCACTGCTGTACATGTACTGCAACGCTATATGCAAGATGCTCCTGGCAGGTGCATACGGCGACGCCGTGGTTTGAGGAGAGGCCAGCACGTGTTGGTTAGTGATAGGGACGGTGTCTTTACCTCATCCGCCCCGTTCTGCAAAGGCGCGAAGACGCCTATTGACTGGCTCGTACTCGCACTCTCTGGGCGGGCGGAATCGGCAGATGGCAGAGGGCAGAACCGTGACGACTTGAGACCGAGGTGCAGAGGGTGAGCTGTTTTGCCAGCATCTCAAGCAATACAGCAAGGGCGGCTCTGCGATATTAATTAGCCTCCAAATGGCCCGTACGACTCGACATTGGAGTCGAATCGTAACCAAAGCGACCTTGGCAAGATACTGTGACCTGCGTCATGCTCCCGGCATTCGCAAGGCAGCTCCCCCAGCTTTCACGACGCCCGCAAACAACTATCCCGGACGGGCGGCAGTGCCAATACTGTGAGTCTTCTTCCCACACGCCCGGTAACGGATGCTCTGTGGACGGCACGACGTACTGCGGTGGCATGGTAGCTTGGGTAGGTACTTGTAGAACTGCAAGTAGCAACGGCAACGAAACACCATAGTACATGTATGCTTGCTCCAGGCCTGGGAAAAGAGAAGAGGGGGAGGGGGGTGTTCAAACGCATGCCTGGCAACTCCAGACTGTGCAGCATCTCGATGAAACACAGCCGGCCAGTTTGCCACTATCGAAGGGCGGTGTTGGTATCATTTGTGATATCACGATGGTATCTGAAAAACAGTGACCGCAAGAATAGCTAGAGATGCAAAGCAGCACCAGCAAAATTAGACGGTATGGTCCTCCTGGCCTCGGCGAGACACCGATCACCAAGCGCTGCAGGCATCCACCACAGGACTGGGTTGTCGACAGGCCAACTGCGCGCTGCAGGCTGCTGCTGCGACTGGAGCTGCGTTCCGGGGAGGCAAGAAGCTTTGGAGAAACGTGGACACTGCAGAAGAAGCTGCATGCAACCAGCTTTCCCTTGTTGCCGTGGGCCCGTCGCCAGTCTGCTCTCTGCTTCTCGAGGCCCGCACCAGCTCCAAAGTTTGTGTGCATTGTCACGGGCTCCGCACAAGACCATGCCCACATATGCAGTGCTGTGCTGTGTGTGTTGCAGTGCAGCGCACGAGGCTCGCCCGCTGCGGCGGTGCCCATCCCGCCTTTTCTCCCGCAAAACTGAAGCTGCCGCACTGGAAAAGGGCGGTCGACCAGGGAGCACCGACGAGAAGCCAAGATGGGGCCGGTTGGCCAAAGTCCACCAATGGCGTGGCGGTGCCAGACAAGGGCACCATTGACGCACCGTGAACGGGTTGCACGGCATGGGCGCACTGGGGCACGACGCAGTTGTTGTGGTCGTGTCGAACAAGCTTCGAAGCCGCCATTTTACAGTATTGCTGGGGTGGTCGTCGAGGCATGACGACGAGCGATGGACAACCAGCAGGCAGGCAGGCAGGCGAGCGAGCAAGCATCGGAGAAGAAGCAAAAGCTAGGGGGTTCGGAAGCAACAGTCGCCGAGCTGCGTACGAGTACGCAATCCAACCGGTCTCAGGGAATACGGCGAGCTGTCTGTCTTGCTGCAGGAAGTATTTGGCGGTGTCCTTTGTTACAAGAACCGAGATGCTAGCAATACTGTAGCTCCATGCGAGCAGGTCGGAATCCTTGGAACCAGCAGGAGCATTGCTCTGTATTCTCCTTTGACAAATCTTCCTTTTCCCATGTTAGCGCCAAAAGCAGTAGAATAAGCGAAGAAATGATGAAACCAAAGCATGAGGCCGGCAGAGCTGGCTGTCGGCGAATCAATCCAACTGCTCGCCGTAGAAAATGCCATCTCGACTTTCCAGCGACAGCCAGCGCGCGATACCTGTTTCGGGGGATCTGAGAAGCTGTGGGATACCCAACGGGCTGGGGAGAGGTTCCCCTGGTTGCTCGCCGAATCTCTGGCACTGCACCACCACCCGGTTCCGAGACGGCGACCCGTTGCAGCGCGGCCAGGAAGCCAATGGCAGGGGAAACGCCACGTCTTGCCAGGCCCGCAAATGGAAAGCAGACGGTCTCGCTGTAGGTACCTCCCAGCAGGCAGCTTCCCGGGAGAGGGGTTCGGGGAGGGGAGCGAAGGCAGATCATTGGATCGCTCAAGGGCTCTGGCGCCTTTGCTGCAAAGGAACCCTTGCGAGGGGGGGGTGGATGTCTAAAGAAGTTTAGCACAGATGCGATGCGACGGTAGGGATCCTGGAGGAGGGGGAGTGGACAGAACGTAGGGCTGAACCAGGCCAGGCCATCCCACCAAGAGCAAGCACAGGTTGATCCAAAGGATCCGGCCAGGGCAGCCAATGGGCGGCCGCGGACAGCACCCTGGCGCTCTGGCACTCTGCTGGCCAACAACATCCCTGCCCAGACCTCCCGCACCGCGTACGCCCGCTGCACAGCGTCCCGCTCGGCATCCCCGAAGAGACGTCGAATTAATTGCTAGACTCACCGCTGGAACAGCAAGAATATGGGCAATGTTTGAGCTGCAGAGCAGCAGCTCTGTCGTGGCACCTTGCGCTACATCGGGTAGCAAAGTCAACCTGGCGTCCGAGAGCTTTGGCCATGGTCCCGTCTGCTGTCGCATCTTGGTAATCTCTTTTTCGTCTGACCCAGCCCTACAGCCCGAGATCAAGTACCGACCGACGCTCTGGGTCAGGCAGACAGGCAGGCCGACTACCTTGATGAACCGGTGTAATCCTGACGCTGCTCGAGACACCCATCCGGGACTGGCCAGTCGACTACTACCAATCCAATGCTCGCTGAGGTAGGTACTTGTCTCTTTGATTAGCACAAGGACGAAACAGGAGCGTCCACTGCGGACAGGGTCTTCAAATTGTCTGGAACTTTGTTGTTCTGCAACAGCTGCTGCCGCCTCTCTACCTTTCCCTCTCTCTTTCTCTCGGATCCCTTGCTGTCTCTCCATCTCCCGCTTGCCGGTCCATTGTGATGCATCAATTGCGATGCGTTGTCGAGCGACGACCAGCTGCAGGGCCTCCGGCAGGAGCAGAAGGGCTGCAGCAGCGCCAATGAGCTGTTTCTCGAATCGTACGAGGGGGCAGCTCCTTCGTCGATCAAATCTACATCAATGACGAGGGGGTCAAGCAGCAGTAGCATGATTGCGTCTGCGGCGTCTGCAGGAGAGCGAGGCATCGCCCACGCCCCCCTTGACAGGCGGGCATGGGAATCTGTCACCTCACGTGATCGGCCTGGAGCAACGCGGCAAGATTTAGCCCACAATGTATGGAGCCGCCAATCAGAGGCCGGCTGTCGTTACGGCTTGCTGTTTTGGAACAGTGCAAGAGCCATGATTGCCGAGTATTCAGTACCTGCGCAGCCCCGGCCAAAGCCTGTCAGGGCTGAGTAACCGGGACTCGCGGTCGTGCACGCTTCACGGAGAAGCTGCTCCCCTCCTCCCCGACCGACCCCATCTATCCGCGTCTCTCTTTCCCATCTTGCACGTCCCAGCCCAGCCAGAGGGCAGGAAGGCAGCCGGCCCCGCTCCGTCAAACTAGCCCCCAAAACGAGGGTCTCGTCGTCGATACTGCAGGTGCAGGTGCTGCTACTGTACAGTACCGTGGATGAGGGACGCTCCATGCCCAATGCCTTACATTAGCACCTCTATTAAAAGTTGAGGCCAAAGCAAAGGGACTGATAGGACGGCGACGATGGCCCTTATTTATTAGTCGGTTCGTCGACTGAATGATGGCACCGCATTGAGAAAGACCAGAAGCTCCGGCTTCAGCCTCTAAATCCTGCCAGGTGGTCTGGAACACCCCCGGGGAACAAAAGAACCTTAAAATCACCACTACTACCTCTGCTACTACATACCGTGGCAAAGATGGCCGGCGAACGCCTTGTGGCCGAGGCATACTCGCCTGATTCGACGAGATTACTATTTCTCGCACAGGACCAGCCCGTGATGCCGTCCCTCGCAGCGATGTTCGGCAGGCCCAGGGCGTGCGTACTTGTAATACGAACAAGTACAGCGCTCGTCCATGTCCTTGCATGCATGGGAATGGATGCGTAGCCTCCCTCGTGAACAGGGGGCAGCGGCGTCATCGGGGAGTTGAAGCATTGACTCTGGGCTTGGCATCAGGGCTGGGTGATGATCGAGTTCCCTAATGGCATCACCGAGATCTACTGAGCGCGCGCGAAGGAGGTTAGGGAGGGCAGGGAGGGATTGACGGCTGAGTGCGGGAAGTGGCCGAGGAGAGGACGGCAGGAAGAGAGAGGAGCGCAGGAAGAGGAAGAGGAGGAGAGGAGAAAGGGGGCAAAACGAGAGATGGGCAGGGAGAATCCATGAAGCATCGTCGACAACCGTGCCGCCACTCAGGATGCTGGACATCCGGGCCGGAGGTTTGTGTCCCTGGAAGCTCCATTTGCGACATCCATGGGAGCACCGCTTTTACCCAGAGTTTGGGTTTGCAGACAGGACAGTGGAAACGGGCGCTGCCTGTGTCCCCTCTCCTCCATCCCATCCTGCCGCTGGTGGGCTATCTGAAGCTTTTGGCGGTTGCTCGTCTACATACCTACGGGTAGCACGAGCTGCCTTGCCCCATTTCCTCAACCGTCACCCCATGATGCCGGTGCAGCATCCATTGATCCCCGGGCGTGGGGGCCAACCACTGCGACACAGTAGCGACCGGATTGGGCAAGGCGAAAGGGCATCGATTGCTGGGGACTCTGAGGCCATTGGCCATTCTGCCGACCTCCTTGTTCGCACTCGCCAAGCCCAGACGGAAGAGACATGTCACCGGTCGAGCCTAGCAGCACCTTGACAAGCCTCCCCGCATACGATACAGGCACCGACCATACTGTGCATCGTATCGTAGGTATCGCAAGTACTGCGCCCTTTTGGGGGGCTTGTCTGCTGGCTTTTGTCCTGTCCTGCTGGTTATATCGATTTTCTGTCCTCTTTTTAAGCTTCGCTTGGGAAGCACGGCACGAGAGGAGAGCTGGGCGCGCCCGCTTCGTATGTTTTGGCCAGGTTCCTGGTCATTAGATTGTCCAGCTCTCCGTAGCATCTTGTGCTTGGCGTTATCACTACGTGTTAACAGTATCTTGCCTGCTGCTTGCAAGCAGCTCTGCCCAGCAAGGACCACGTTCCCAGAGAAGGATCAGAGGGAAGGGGGGGAGGGGAAAGGGAAATAAGCAGCCAATCACCCGCGTGAGAACCTTAGCAAAGTTGCCATTCGGGAAAAGCAATGCAAGTCAGAAAATAAGAAGTCAAACGGTTCAAAGGGGAAAGCGAGGTGGTTGATGACGATGCTGTCATTCTTTGGCGTCTGTTTTAGGACGGCAGTGCCGGACGCTGAGTGGTAAGGCTGAGATGCGCGCCGGCAGCTGCAGCAAGTAGCAGCAACACACAGACGCACACTCACACACGAAACAAGGCAACAAGATAAACAGCATCGAAACGACGCCTAGGATTCGTCCCTTTGCTGGCGTTACGGGGATTGGTGCGAAGTTGCCGTTCGTCGCACGTTGAGGCGAAAAGGACGAAATGATTTACATCTTAACCAAGGTGCCGCGGAAAGGGCCAAGGCATGTTCCTTGAAGGTGGCACCTAGGTTGGAGAAAGAGACATAGCCGGGATGACGGGGGGGGGTGGGAACTGGAGCAGCGAGCTGTTGAAGAAGTTGGTGTGTGCAAGCGGGAACGACATGTCCAGTGCATCTCCGTAGGGCGCGCAAAAGAAGGGAGTGGATTCGTGTCGTTTCGCTCTCCTAACTCTCTGGCACGAGGCAAGACGGCTGGCTATCTTAGCCGTACCCGTACGGATAGAGGCGGATCACAAAAGGTCATTCGTCGTGACGCTTTTTGCCTGGTGTTGAAGCTTCGTACATACTGTAATAAACTATCTACCTAGGTACTGGATCCATCTGTGTGAAGGGCCCATGTGGCCAAAACGGTCCCAGTTCTCATTTCGCCAAACATGATTCCACGGCTATCGGCCAATGCACGATATCGGACATTGGCCTTCATCACCCCATGAAGGCGACACCGTACTCCAGCGGCCGCAATCGCAATTCCAAATCGCCAAAACAAACACCCATGAACCTTTTCCGAACTCTCTCCCACACTCACCTTACATACAAGTACAAAGGCAAACCCGAATTACCTCTTTCGGTCGCCGGAGGAAACAAGTCCCGAGGCAAATCATCATCACCTTGGAGGAGATTGACCTTGTTATTAGCGGCAGCACTTTGTATCGAACCCAAAGACACCAACCACACACACCCCTCCCCTCATCCCGTCACATCCTCTCCCCCATGCTAAACTCATCTTGCCTTTTTTTCCGAGGTATCAAAAAAAAACAGGTGTAAGGAACAGGTAGCTTCTCACCTGCTTCTGCGTGCATCGTCAGGACCCCTTTCGCTCCATCTCTTTAAACCTTGCAGGCGCGCGCACGCGGTCACTTTGGCGTTGCGGCTTGAAAGCCAGCAGGTTTGTTGCTGATGCCACCACTGGCGAGGGCGTTGTGAATCGTCTACATCGTGACATGTAGGTACTCTGGCTGCGCTATGGATTTTGGTATCTCCGGGATTATCATGTATGTCACGTTTGGGGGCCATCTCTGCCTTGCGTCAATGACGACGACGAACAAGCTCATTGGCGGCGTTTCTTGTCTTGCACGTAGCCCTACCATGTGGTTCCCTCTTCCATCAAGAATCCCCCCAAATCTGAGGTCGCCCCTGGAGCAGATACCTGCCATTTCCTAATGCGAACAAAGAGTAGAATATAAAAGAAAAAGGCAAATAGATTAATTGCAGTGCTACCGTTCAGTCTTGCTAATGCACGACCAACATGCTGTAAGAGTCAAAGGGGTGGGCGCTGCTGGAACGGTTGGTGGTGGCCTCTTTTTTTCCCCCGTCGCTTGCCGCTCCCGAAGACCTGGAACACGAATGTCTCAGATGCTTCTTGTTGGTTGTAGTAGTTGTACTAGTACTCGTACATGTATTACTGCTTTCGATCTGGCCTCTCCTCAGCTCAGCGTATAATTTCCCTGTTGGAACGCCGAACCCCATGGCAAGGGATCGTCCGGTCTAAATCGGACACAGATCAGCCCTGGAATCATGCAGAGAATGGGCTACTACTGCAATTGTCATCACTGCCCTGGGATTAATCAGCACGCTCAAAGCAAGGCGACATCCACATAGGCGCCGAGCTACCCTTGAAGTTCATTGGCATCTACATCAGTAGCTGTACCCATCGACGAGTAATTATTCCAAGCGAGGTGTTGAAGATACCAAGCATCACGTGTGAATTCCAGGGTGCGGCCACTGATATCAAATAGCTTGACTCGTGGTTTACAGATAGGGCAAACGTAGGCTACAAGCTCCAGGCTATTCCGAGCTATGTACTCTCATGAGGGCATCCACTGGACAAGGCAAGATAGTATTCCACTCCAGCGGTAGCCGCAGGGTAGCCATGTATTACCCACGATGCGTATCAAGACGGAAGCGAGGGTCGACATTCACGTCGAACGTCATTGGAGGTTTGGCGCCGAAGAGCAGCACAGCGAGAGCCAAAATAGATACAAAGCTACAAGCGAGCCGCGTCCCAGGCGGACAGAACAGGCAGACGACGGACGAAAGCGGAGACGCTTCCTTCTTTACGCAGGCCCCCTCGTCGATGAAGTTTTGGTGTCGATAAGGCACTGAACGAGCTCGTCAACTCTTGCTTGCTTGGGTCGACACGGGCCCCATCAAAAACACGAGCCCCAATAATGGAGCCTCACTCACAGGGTCAGAAGCCAAAAAGCCAAAATCAGAAACCACTCTCTTTGCACTCCCCCAGGGTTGGCGGCAAATCGACGCGGGACGTGTGGGGAGCCCAAAAGGCGCAGCGTCTCTTTGGGGGTCTGTGCTATTTTAGCAGGGGGGAAGCTTTCGGGATGTGCAAATGCTGGACGCGGTTTAGCGCGGACGGGTTACCTAACCAGGCCCCAAAAAAGGCTGAAGAGACAAGAAACGCGGGGGGTTCGCTTCTGTGATTGGACAGGACAGCTAGACGGGACAGGGTGTGGGAGCCAATCAGAAGCCCCTGAGCAGCTTTAAAAAGAAACACGATCTAACCATGACGGGACGAAGATACCACCTGGGTACGGAATACTTGGAGTAGGTACCTTCTTGGAGACAGACAAGGCAAGAGGGGGAGGGGTAAAATGGAACTCGGGCATCTCCCGAGCGCAGTTTGGAGCTTAAATGGCTGTCGGGCACGGGAGGAGAGTTCTTAGTCATCGGGCTTGGGGTGGGTTCGTCTGTTATTCCCGAGCCGGGGCTACGTATGTACTAGCAGTACCAACTTATCACGAGCTTGTCTTGTCTGTGCCGTCTGGGCGGGATTGAACGATGCCCTTCAGAAAGCTTGTGGCCTTTGGCAAGGCGATCATGATACCACGGCGGCGGGATTTTGCGCACAAATCGCCAGCCGGATACCGCCAGTGCGGCTCGTAGCCCTTTCGTTGGGCTGCGCTACCGGGAGTGAGACGGAACCTGAGCGATGGGGAGGGGTTTGACTTTACAATTTGGAAGTTCACACGTAAATCCTGTCGTGATCGTGACGGGTATCGTCGCCCATATACAACAAAGTAAGCAAGCCTCACGGCACTCGCAACAAGTGGCAAGTCGGGAGTCGGGAATAAGGCTGTCGCTGCTTGCTCCCCGATAAGGCGGCCCTTGTGGAACCGCCATGGGCGATCGAACTCCTGATGTTTCTTGAACTCGGTACTACTAGACTACTGCCTGGACATTATTACGGAGAACTGCGTAGGGGAACAACGGCGTTCCCAAGCTCCGTTCACGCCGACAACTTCTTGATCTTGCTCGGAAAATGCTACGTTCCGCTACGACTCTGCGGTATCCGGTCATCGCCGTATATTGTGACTTTGCCCTAGCTCTGAGGGGGTCTTGATGTTACACCGGTTGAACAGAGCTCGGCGACTTGAGGTTTGATGATCCAGGGCCTCGGTGACATGCGCCATCAAAGAAAAGGATGGGGCCTTGTTAGTTGTAAACGCCGTCTGAAGCACTTGTCACGGAAGAGTCCGCCGAAATACAAGCAAAATGCTAGAAAAAGGAGAGACGGGGCCAAACGGGATAGCAAGTAGCAGTAGTATTTAGTGCGTTGCAAAGAAAAGCAAAATCGTACGACCATGTTTGTAGGGCGCCGCTGCGGATAGTTTCATCTTGTTGACCTTGAATCTTTCCTTGCGTCCGTAAATAGACTCCCCTAGCATTGGCTGCAGCGATGATAACATGTACCTTACATAGGGAACCCTGAAGGTTCTCCGGGATCGGAAATCCGCAAGTTGGAAAGAATGCAGAGACAAACAATTTTCCACGCGCTTTGCCTCGATGGAGCTAGAGAACTGACGAAACTAGACCAAAAGCCCAGTAGCAACAGCAGCTGGATACTACCCCTTGCAGTTGAGGCTTCGATTCGCATTCGCATATCCAAATGTTCCATGGTCCGAGTAAGGCAAATGTAGATTCGAAGCGTCAGGATTAATCAAGGCATAAACTCGCAACCCTGCATCATGAATCAGGAAAGGGAAAAAAAAAGGCATGGGAGGGGAGAAAACCACATGGCAAGGGGAGACAAAACCCCGGGATTCGAGTTCCGAACAGACGAGATACCGGAAACAGAAGAAACGACGAACAGCAAGCAAACAACAAACAGGGCCCCTGCTTGAATGAAACCTTACAAGCCCAAAATGAACCTGTCCACAATTCTTGGGAACATGGGGACATTTCAATTGCAAACCCCATCCGGCTGTCGCTGGACGCCGCGATTGGCCGTCTCAGGCGGAACCTCCATGCCGCTGTGGAGAGACGAAGATCCGACGCTGCGCTGCCGCCTATCAGTGTTAGAGAAGGCCGATTACCTGAGCAGGGCGAGGCTTCCGGGGCTCCACTGCAGTCGGCGCAAGATTCGTCCGGCGCACAATTTCATGCCGCCGGATGGCCGCCCATGCCGCAAGGGGGTGTCTGTCTGTTCTTCTCTGAAGAAGTTGTTGTTCCTGCGTGGTAGCTCCTTGGTGGTGGGTGCGCCGCAGAGGGACCTGGGGAGGACCTTTTTTTTTGCGGCGAGGCTTGCTAGCGGAGATACAAGCTGTCTGCATGTGGTTGTGAGCTTTGGGCCATTACTGCAAGTATCATCTTGGGTTATCATCCAGCAATTGCGCGTCTACGTACGTGGCAACAGAAATAGAAAGCAAAACCTCTTATCTCTCATGCTGTTTTCTAGTAGTAATTCCCGTTTCTCCTCGGTTTGTCCATTGCAATTCTGCCGACAAAAGCCTGTCAATCTTTTGTTGCTCAGCACCCGCACCCCATGCAAACGATGATGGCATCTTTCTTCCTCCTTGGCATCCCCAATTCCATGTACACGGCAAAATGGCTAGCCCTGTAAGTTCCTCGTCTTCGTCTTCGTCTACAACGGTCCCGCGACCGGCGCCTTCGTCGTCGACTTTGCATCACACTAGGCCATCCAGGAAATTGCATCCGCCCATGGGGCCCTGTATCAAAACCTGTACGTACGTAGTAGCCACGGGCATCATACAAAGTACTTGTAGTACATTGAAGCCTTGCCCGTTAGTACATGTATTCCCATTCTCGCCTCGCCTCAAGGGGTCCCAGTCGTACGGATCCAGCCCACCGGGAGTGGACCGTCCCAAAATGCCGGTTATCCGCCAAAAGAAGAAGAGCAGTTGCGTGTTTTTCCTCTCTTCCTGGTCCAAGCTCCAACGCCTTGTTCTTGAAGGAGCTGTAGACAGGAATGTGCGGCTAAGAGAAATTCCCCCGGAACGCCCTGTTCGCAAGCCTCGTGCTAGTCGTGGCTTGCCCAATGCGGCACTGAATGCTTGAGGAATCCGGCGGGCTGGTTAAGGTAGGGGTTTGATGTGCGCCGCATTCGTCTAGGACGGCCCTGTTCTGTGCAAGTCCTGCTATCAAACCTGGAAACAATTCAATCTGGGCAAATACAGTGGGCGTCTCGATCAAGAAGGAGAGAGCTGCCATGCGCAACGAAAGGAGATGAGTAGATGTCAAACCACGAAGTTTGTCACCGCTGTCGCCCCGATTCCAGTGCAACCCTATGAGATCAACCGCCAGCCCTTTGCCAATCTCTCTCCAATACGAAATTCCACTTTGGGCCAGACAACAAACCAACAAGGCTCAAAACTCCCCTCCCCCCATCGATCTCATCGTTCCCTTCTGTCGGTATCCGTAATAACAAAGTTTACTGTTACACCCGTTCCTCCCTCTCCACCCGCGCATCCCTTGATGGCCTCGTAACCGCGCCTGCGGGCGCATCGCATCGCAAAAGATGCTTGTTATTACCCAGGAGGGCGTCTGTGGCAAGAAAGTCACGCCAAAGGGTAGGTGCAAGGGACATGCCAGTGATTTTGATACAGTTCTCACGCTGTGGGACACTCGAGCTCTCTCCCTTTGGTGAACCTTCTTTTCCCGTAGGTAGGCAGATGTCGTGATGCCCCCCCGTATCATCACGGGTTCATAGCTCGACGATCCCCCTCTTCCAAATCAAATCTTAAAACCAAACGCGCCGCCCCATCCCTCTAAACGAGCCGCTATAGACATTACGTCCTTGGCCTTGGGAGGCTCATCCTGGGATCTCCAACAGCTCCGTCCGCGCCCGCGGAACCAGGTTTTTTTGTCATTCAGGATTTTGGGGGCGCTTGATCAACGGTGACAAGCCCCTGTGATTCCATCATCGATTTGGATTTTGGGGCTTGATTTGCATTTTGCGTTTACACGACACGGAATAAATGATAATAAATGATGGCTAATACGAAACAACTTTCAAAAAAAGACCAACCACGAGCCGCCGCTTAGACGCGTTGTATCACCATCACCCGTTTTCCCTTTTTTGCCCTTTGGCCAACCAACTTTAAACGGCTCGCAGATACATACCTTAGATATGTAATACCTAAACAACCTAATTCAACGTACTCCGTGCTAGATCCTGAGACCAAAGGGCGGCAGTGCAGCATCCGGTCTTTGTGGCTTGTCGAAAGGCGTGTCGCCTGTCAACACGTGTGTGTCTGTAGAAAGTCTGCTGCCCTTTCCCCCTTCCGGCTTCCTGCGGTGGCGCTCAACTAAGTGTGTGTGCAAGGGGCGGCACTTGGGCAAATCTCCAATCTCTCTCCAATCTCCTACATACGGCTTTTATTTGTCCATTTCGCCTTCTTTTACCCCGTACGGAGCTTCTTTTGGTGCGTGTTAGTCCGGTGCCCCCCCGTAAACTCCGAACCGGCCAGAAAGGTTACCAGATTCGAGGGGGGGGTAGGGGTTAGGAGATCCCAGCAGCATTAATTTCAAATACTTTTTCACATAGCGAAACAGCATTAAATCGGACTTTCGAAAATCGCTTCGGCAATCACTTTTGTTCACCGTTTCCTTTCCTTTTTTCTGGGGTTTGTCTCTGCTCGGGAATATCTTTGTTGTCTTCCTTGTTTTACCCCCGTTGACCCTGTATGTTTGTTGGCGGGCTTGATTTAGACTCAGGAGAGAGGAGGCTGGGGGCGCGCCAGCAATAGGGACGCAACACATGCAAGCAAGCAGTCTGTCAACTGCAATCCTCCCCGAAAGTTGTGGCCGCTTGTGGGTAAGAAAGTAGCAGCTGAGAGAGTTCTCACATTCATCTGCACAAGGTGCTCGTAGGGCGAACCAGATCCAAGGGATAAGATTTGTCCCCCTTCCCCCCTCTTCTGGCCCCCTCCCCTTACCCCGTTGGACGGACAAGCAACGAGAACCAACCGGGCTTTTGCCTATCCACAGCGTTGGGATAGTAGGGCTGAGAGGGAGGCTCGGCAGACGTTGACATGTGGCAGATGGCGTCCCGACGGCTAGGGAAGACGACCCATTGGCTGGGCTCGGGGACCCCCCACTCTCATGAGCCTTTTTGGCTGCCTGGGGGATGACACAAAAGGTCACCGGTGATCTAGAGCCCTGTTTGAGGCAAGGGACAGGCCGCCGCTACTTGGTGATGCTGCCTTTGTGCAGAGGAACTTGCACTTGTAGACAAACTTGTATGTACTTTTACATGTATTTATCCAGGCATTCGCTGCTGGTGCGGTACGAGGTACTTTTCACTTGGTCCCCCCCCTTGTCGTCTTTCCGTCTCTCTTCCTCTCCCCCCCTCGTCAACTCGTTTTGCGACGGCCAATTTCGTGCCGGGGCCGGGATCTTTGGGGGACGCTTCCGGGACGCCGCGGTCGGCCGTGGGATGACCAACAGCCTGAATCTTTTTAATGCTCACACATGGCGCGGCACGTTCTTTTAGCCATGAGAAAAGGCAAGGTGAAAGAGAGAAGAGAGGAGAAGGAGCAAAAAAAGTACATAGCAGAGCAAGTGAGTTGACGATTCCGTTGTGCCGAAAGCCTAATGAAAGGGGTGCTCATGACGAGGACGATGCTGATGATGCGGGCTTTATCCCCCACCCTTGTGAACACGAGCCCTTTGCTGCAGATGGCATCGATTGCCGCAGGCATCGAACCAAGCCAAAAGAGCCATTTGATTTTGTCTTTTCATTGGGCATTATGCTTTTCCGGAGGCAAAAAATCAATCCAAAGAACTCAAAGACGAGAATCATTTCCTCATTTTTCCTGCGGAGACAAGCAATCCTGATAGCAACTGCTTGGCGCAACTATCAACATCCCACAACCCCCTCCCGTAGGGCTCTCTCAGTGTCTTTCCCTTTTAGTATGCGCTTCTCGCTGCGAGCCCAGATATGATGGTCCCTCTCGCTAGCTGCGTATCAGATGCCGGTTGGGGAAAAACTGATTACCTCAACTGGGCTGGGGGGGTAGGAGGAGGCAGGGCAAAGACGGGGGAATTTGGACGCCGGCGGGCCCTACGCGTTCCCACTTACACCGGCCATTTCCCCCCTGCCCTGCCCTTGTTGTGCCCTGCATGCCGCATTCGTTTACTGGCTCTGGCTGCGACTTTGGTAGACGCGGTTGGACTTTTCGGTATACCTTACCTATTGTTAGGACTCCCTCTGCTTTCGCTTCCGCGTGTGTTGATGTGTTTACGTGTATGTGGGCGACCACCTGACCTGGGCAGGCAGCAAGACTGTCTGATTGGGGGGGCCCAAGGAGAAGCAAGATGAGGAGTCTCCATGCTCGTACGTACGCAACGCGGCATACAAGCGATGCATCGTACAACGCAGCAACAAAGACCCCCGCGCGTCCCCATGCTGCACGACTCGCCAAACAGAGAGACCAGAGAGGCTTGAGGAAGCGGGAGAGAGGGCGAATACATGATACATACATTCCCTTGCGTACACCGTACCACATGTCAGTATGATAGATACCTACCCAGCAAAGGCGGGATCGGGTCAAGACAGCGCGCATCTTGCATATGATGGGACTTCGTAGCAAAAAACAAGAGGTGGACAGCAAGAAGACGCCAACAAGTCAAAAATTCCGGGTAGCCTGTTAAACGAGGAAAAAAGACAAACCACGTTGGCACACACGGCCGCGGATGGAGGTGGGTTGGGACGGCACGGTTAGAAGGTTGGGCGCTGACAAGGTGGTACCATGGGAAAATCGCCATGTGCTGCAAATTGAAAGGTGGACGGGGAGCAATTGGGGATGGGTGGGAAAGGGAGGCAAGGGATGGGGGGAGGGGAGGCAAAGGGGGGAGTCCCTCCATCGTCGCAAAAATTGCCAGAGATGTTGTGTGATATGGCATGATTCCCGTAGCCAACAAGCTTTAACCGCTACCTTGGTTAAAGGCACAGAAACGATGCCATCTATACATAGATAGCAACCGTGACGGGATCATCAAATCATCAGAAAAGCCGCGGATGTCAGCAAACAAGCAAGTAGCCGCGAAGCCTTGGGGGTCTTCTCTTTGGAACGACAAGATGAGACCCCAGCCTCCCCCCCCCCGGCAATGAGCCAGCCATTGAGTTATTCCCACCTCGCTTGGCTTTTTAGACTCGGCGGATTAGAAGAAATGAAGCTAAAAAAGCAAAGCTCGATGAGCCAAAGAGAGGCAATCTTGTGCACGAGAGAGAGAGAGCTGTCTGTTCTGCCCGCGCGTTAATAGTCCTGGCGTGATGCTGGGGGTGTTTGGATGCTCGGCGCTTGTCCGCGGCTCTTTTTTTCTCTGGAGGGGTGTGTTGTGAGAGAGGGCGGGAATGGGGATGAGACGGAGAGCCACCACCAAGATGAGAAGAGACGAGGATGGGGATGAGGGAACAGGGCCAACGGGATGCGCGCTGTTCCCAATCTCGACAGTGTACTAACTTTTTAGTGCCGCTGGGGCCTACCAGGAGCAGCAGTTGTAGAAGCAAGAGAGGAAGGAAAACGTATCCCCAGGTTGCCCTTTGGTAGGGGGTGTTTGGTGATGATGGCCCAAGTGGAAAGCCGCCGCCTAGTAGTCGTACACAAGGTACTTGTAGATGGGGAAGAAAAAGAGGCTTGGAGATTTGAGAGAGACAAGTCGCATCTTGCTG